AGCAATAGTACATTCATGTAGTTGTAAACAGCATGATAATATATTAAGTAATCCAAAGTATTCAGAATATGTTACTCTCATTGAGTAACGTAACGGAATACGTGTGTGATATATGTGTGACCCTGGGGAACATGCTTTTTTGCCGTGCTATGTTATGTTATTGCTGATGATCCAAAATCTTACAACAGTTCCTCCAGGAAACAACTGGGATGTGTTGTGGAAGTTTTCCATTAAATTAGTAATTAATGTTAGTGCAGCGCCTCTGTATGCACGCTTTCTCACAGTGACCTCTGCATTGCAAGCAATACAAGGTCATGAATAACACGCTGCTGGTAAATTCACAAAGACACAGAAAGTGGCATTTAAAAGGTTAAGTCAGCACGGCCCAAAAGCTCATGCAACCTGTTGCTGTCACCTTTCTGAGCCTGTAAAAAGAAACATACATACATCCTTCTGTCACGTCAAGGTGGAGGGGCAATCTTGCAAACTGATGTCAAGTCAGTCAAGCTTTTGTCAGTCCAGTCAGTCCCCATTTTTATTTGCTAAGTGTAGAACCTCTCGTGTTGCATTAAGTTTCTACTGCCAGCAATATGAGGCCAAACAAGAAAAAAAAGAATTTAGACTGGATTACCTCGCTGAACTTGTTTTCTGATTGTCCCATAAGTGGCTTTCTCCTGAGCCCATTTTAATTTTGGAGAAGCTCACTTGCGATTGTTCAACATGTTGTGTAGCACTTTCGATCCCGATCTTGCAGCCTGCTTGAAGAAGAGAAAATTGCCAAACAAAAATCTCAGCGCACTGTTAAAAATAATGAAAAATATGAAGGCCTCTTTTAGGACTTGTCTAAGCGTACTCCCTTACAATGATAGATCAAAACAAACTAATTGGCAGGTTCAAAGTGGTACCAAAGGAAAATGCATCAGTAAATCTGCCAAACTTTCATCCACCAGTCACACCTCAAACAACAGCAATATTCTATTAGACAATGAGTTTTGTTTCCCCATGTACCCAGATGTGTGTCATGATAAAACCTCCCTCACACATCAGAAACGAGAAACTCAATAATCTATTAGTCTCCACTCATCTGACCCTCCTGCAGCATTCTGTTCACCCCTGCAATGATTCAATCATCCTTCCCCAAAAATAACACTCGTTCACTCGTCTATGTATCACTTCTCAACCTGCTAAGTAAACTGGACAAGATGATGGTAACAGAAACGCTTAAAATACTGTTTGATCTTCATGAGCTTCATGTCATGTGTGTTTGTGTGTATGTGTTAGTAGGATTAATGCATTTTTCTGTTTGTGTAATTTTGTGTACCTCTCCTCTTTGCGGTGCTTCAGACACTTTTCAATTCTTCACGCAAGGCAGTCGTTTTTCTTCCCGGTTTCCTAAACCCAAATTTCATTCCCACACTAAAACAGCTTCCTCCATGTCCTCCAATGCTCCTTCCACTGTGGTCTCATCTCCTCCCATTGCTGCAGTCCAGTTGCAGTCAGTTCACTTCCAGCTTTGTCCTGTTTTCCACTGTCTCATTTTCCCTTTTTCTCCAAAAGTGGCAAATGTGCAACTCAGGCAGTCTTTTCAAAGGTCCATTCACACACAGTGAAG